TGAAATGACATGGCTCAAAATCGTTTGCAGTGGCGCAGGTGCATTAATTCTGTGTTTACTCCCTCATTACCTTCACCTTTCTCGTCTCGAATCTATTTCACTGGCTTATACTTATTCGAACCGTGATCTCTCCGGTTACTACTCGTGTAGTGAAGGAGAACACAGGTGGGGCAACCAAATTGTATGTAACAAAAATTACAGAGTTACTCAGCAAAATCGGAAAACCATACCGTAAATCGTTAATTTGCAAAATATCAGTTCATTATATCGAACTGGACTGTTCCTGTTACAAAACATCAATCCATTGTCACTATTCATGCGTTTCATACAAATTCGATTGTGTTCTAACTCTTCCTTTCTTGATCTTCCCCCATCTTCCGCTGCCGGACATTACGTTGACACTCACGTCATATACTACTTATAAGTAGCTCACACCACACTCGCACCTCTACTACCTTTACCATTATGGGATTTGAATCAGCAATTGCATCTCTGTGCTACCATGGTATGGCAACTTAACCTGATGTACGGTACGTACGAAGTTCTATGTTTTAACTGACTGACTCTAATTTGATAATTAGTCACACTGATAATAATAATAAGAAGAAGAATGACTGAAAATCAGATGAGTTAATTGTGTTTATTTGTAGACAAGTAAACATTTAATTAAATACTGATAAAATTATTATTCATCATTCATACGAAAAGAAAACTTGTAACAAGAATATAAACCGTAATTGATGGTATTATAATGAGTGAATAAATACTAGTTGACAGATAAAATCAAATTAAAATGTTTACCAAGGTTACCTACCTACGTACCTAGTTAAACAAGCAAACAAAAAATTTGGATAAAGAAGAAAGATAAAAACAAAGGTAGTGGTGAGTGATGAACTCGGTTACCATGGCGGCGGCATAGATTATATTTGGTTGAGACTAACTATATGAATGAAAATTGTAACAGTTTTATTCTTTATTTCTGAGTTATTTATTTAATTAGTATGATAAGTTGGTAGTTGAGATAATGAGTGTCTTCATCGATTGAGATGTGTGATATTGTCTAGTAGTGTGTCAATAGGTTTAAAAGTAAGCTAATGGTGGCCAAATCAAGACAGGGTATCAGTCAATGAAGTTGTTGACATTTAAACTGAGTGATGCTCATAAGTATATATACTAGTTGATTAAGTTTTATGCAGTGTTATCGTAACCTTGTAATATTATCGAAATCTCAGCTAGGATACAGAAGGCTCGATCGGCTTTTGCCAACCTGCGTCACTTATGGCGTAGACTAAAGGACGAGTGTACTGTGCAGTAGTTCGCTCCGTCTTACTTTATGGCTGTGAAACATGGCCGTTAAGAGTAGAAGATATTCGTTGGTTATTGGTTTTCGATCATAGGTGTCTTCGAAGCATTGCTCGTATATCCTGGGACACACGAGTGAGCAACGCTGTTATTAGGACACGGGTGCTAGGTAAGAATGGCAGATCAATAGATGAAGTAATGAAACTTCATCAGTTGAGGTGGTTGGGACATGCGTTGTGTATGCCTAACCACCGAATGCCTCGACGAGGTTTGTTTCGTAGTGTAGGAGTAGGTTGGAAGAAAGTTAGGGGCGGCCAAACCAAAACATGGCAGAAATCCATGTAGTCATTGACAAGTGGACTGTGTCATGTAGGTAATTGTTGACTACCTGGTTGGGGTCCGCGAGATGATAATAAGTGATGGTTAGAGACCCTGAATGACATGGCTTAAAATCGTTCGCAATGGCGCTGGTGCATTTATTCTTTGTGTTCTCTCAAATCCCAATCTTCTGGATTCTTCAACACCTCTAGTTTCGACTTTCTAAACTTATCTCACTGAATCTTACTTCTTGAATAATATTTTATAACCCTAACCGTTCCGATCACTTCTAATACATTTACTACCTCTTCTACTATTGGATTTGAATTGACAATTACATCTCTGTGCTGATGTGGTATGGCAACATGAACTGATGTACTTACGTACGAAGTTCTACGTTGCATCTGACTGACTGACTGATCGTAACCAATCGTTAGAGACTTTGAATGGTATAGCTCGAAACTGTTTGCAGTGGAGCAAATGGTGCATACATTCCTTATCTCCCTTTAGGTTTCTCGGTTCTTCATAATTCTTTAGTTTGATTTGGTTAATTTAAGTGAAAAAATACATTAATTGATACTTACAGCTGGAGTAAGAATTTTAAGGTCTTGGTGTTTAAATTTAAAGTTAGGAAATGGTAACCCGAGCTAGGGATTAAAATTGAAATGTACATTTAGACTCAAAGTACATATTGTAGTGTGTGTACTTTTATGCCACACCCATCGGGCTTGTCCCACATTTTGAACAAACTAACTAATCCATTCTTCTCGATTTATCCACACGTCTTGCAACTGTACCATTTTTTCCTTATATCTTGGTTGTTCTTATTCAAGTGTGTGTGCCGCTTAGTTGGCTTATTGCATGTGTCTGGCTCATTTTTATATGACTATAAATACTCAGTCATGCTTTAATACGTTGAGTTGGATCACTTGCCTGTTCTACTTTGCTTTAGCGCTTCATAGTTTTCTAGTAACGGTTATCAGGACGAGCAGTATACGAAGTTTAGGAATTCTATCGAATACCGACCGCCATAGAATTGGTGAGCCCACTCTGCACCACAATGTCGACTGATCTTTAAATCTAAATCCGATTTTAAAAAACCTAGTTAGATTTAGGATTACTAGGAGCGGCCAAACCAAAACATGGCAGAAATCCATGAAGTCACTGACAAATGGACTGAGTCATATTAGTAGATGTAGGCTACCTGGTTGGGGTCGGCGAGACGAAAGTCACCAATGGTTAGAGACCTTGAATGACATGGCTGAAAATCGTTTGTAATGGCGCAGGTGCATCCACTCTTTGCGTTCTCTCTAATTCTAACCTTCTGCATTCCTCATGATCTCTATCTTTCTCTTTCGAAATTCGTCTCACTGAATTATACTTTTCGAATCATATCTTCGCTCCCTAATCTTCTCCATTGCTGCTAATAATTCTACTATCGCTATCACTCTTGGATTTGAACTTACAGTTACGTCTCTATGCTCATGTGGCATGACAACCTAAACTGATGTACTTATGTATGAAGTTCTGCGTTGTATCTTTCTGTCAGTAGTATAACTAGTAACTGACATCCTCTATGAGTACAGATTAAGTATTTCTTTTTGTGCTAATGTAGATATGTAATTTTGGATTAATTTTTTGACTTAGTAATACATGACTTTACAGCATTTTATGCGGTACATTATTCACACTACACGTAAATCTGTTTGAAAAATAAATGAATTTCATGCAAATACAATTTTATGAATATAAGTTCATAATCAGTCGGTCAGTCAGTCAGTCGGTTACTATGTATAACTTTGCACGTACGGTACATCAGTTCAAGTTGCCATAACTTATTAGCACAAAGATGCAATTGTCAATTCAAATCGCATATTCGTAGTAGGGGTGTGGTGCGTGCTACTTATAAGTAGTATATGACGCGAGTGTAAACGTAATGTCTGGCAGCAGAAGATGGGGGAAGATCAAGAAAGGAAGAGTGGGAACGCAATGGAATTTGTATGAAACGCATGAATAGTGGAATGTCAGACAATGGATTGATGATGAATTGAAGATTTGCAAATTAACCATTTACGATATGGTTTCCCTATTTTACTGAGTAACTGTAATTTTCGTTAAAGACAATTCGGTTGCCCTCACCTGTGTTCTCCTTCACTACAGTAGAGGAAGTAGAAATATGATCAGTGATTAAAAAGATTAGTTATCGAAGGCGTTATTTAAGAAGTATAATTCTTGTGAAACAAACCTAAGAAAGAAATACAATGGTGATGAGGAATTCAGAAGATTAGAATTTGAGAAGACTAGAAATGATGGATGCACCTGCGCTATTGCAAACGATTCTGAGCCATGTCATTCAAGGTCTCTAACCATCGATTACTATCATCTCGTAGACCCCAACCAGGTAGTCTACATCTGTAGTGAAGGAGAACACAGGTGAGGGCAACCGAATTGTATTTAACGAAAATTACAGTTACTCGGTAAAATAGGAAAACCATATCGTAACCGTTAATTTGCAAATCTTCAATCAGTCATCAATCCATTGTCTGACATTTCACTGTTCATGCGTTTCATACAAATTCCATTGTGTTCCCACTCTTCCTTTCTTGATCTTCCCCCATCTTCTGCTGCCAGACATTACGTTGACACTCACGTCATATACTACTTATAAGTAGCGCGCACCACACATCTACCCACCATGACTGAGTTCACTCGTCAGTGACTTCATGGGTTTGTGCTATGTGTTGGTCTGGCTGCCCCTAGCTTTCGTCCAACCTACTTTTACACCACAAAACATATCTTATCATCAAATTGGTGTATACTTCAGCTGTTAAATAAATTTCACACATTGAATCCTTAACGTTGATGATCATTGGTAAACTTGATATGAGTTTAGATAAACAGTCCATCATGGTATAATTTGCTTGAAGTTGTATGCAACTTCATTAACCAATTTAAACATTATGATTATAACATTTACTTACTTACGCCTGTTACCCCCAATGGAGCATAGGCCACCGCCCACCAGTTTTCTCCAACCAACTCTGTCCTGGGCTTCCCTTTCCAGTTCTGTCCAATGTTTGTTCATTCCTCTCATATCTTTCTCTATTTCTCGGCGTAATATGTTCCTTGACCGACCTCCTTTCCTTTTGCCTTGAGGGTTCCATGTGAGGGCTTGTCTTGTGACGCAGTTAGGTGCTTTTCGTAGTGTGTGTCCTATCCACTTCCACCACTTCTTCCTCATTTCCTCCTCCTCCACTGGAATCGTGTTTGTTCTCTCCCACAGTACGTTGTTGCTATTATAACATTTAACAATACAAAAATTGACAAACACTTGGTGGCATGAACATTTACATGATTCTTTTAAATTGTTTTCTCGATAGGAAAGCTAAAAAAGATGATGCATTAAAACAAAGTCTTCAATTTAAATTAAAACATCAAAATGACAAAGAAAAACAACTAGAAGAAGCTAATCGTTTAAAAATGGAACAAGCTGCGGAGGCCTATCGTCAATGGGAATTAAAGAAGGTATTTCTACCCATTTTTTATTATTGGTTTGTGCAGATTATTGATCGGCAGTCTCATTCATCAGGTGATTTAAGAATCTCGCAGAACTTATCCCTTACACTGATAATAATCATGTCCTCAATACTTGTGGCTAATGTCGTGAGGTAATTTCAGGAGATCTCGTGAGAAGACGTCGTGATCAGAGGTGTTCAGCCTGCTAATGGTCGATCTCTGTGCTAATTTGGTATAGAACTAATGCACATAAGTAAGGAAGTTCTACGTTGTAGCAGACTGGCTGACTGAATGGTATTGAATAAATTGACCAATATTGGATACTGGCTCGATAGTCTTGAATTCAAGTGTTCACCTCAAGATCTGGAAGTCTGCGATTAATCCCTAGTGAGGTCATGGGATAAAAACTGCTAAGAAGTCTCATTCTAAAATGAAACAGTTGCCTTAGTTTTCAACAACAGACTAAAAAAATGTCTATTCGTGATGTCTTTCTTATCGTTGAACTAAACAATAGTCTATTTTTATCTCGAAACCCTATCACTTAAGAATAGTTTACCATTTCCATTGGGATCATGAATCAATCAGTACTAGATCACCATCAAGAACCTAAAAGCATTGGACGGTCATTTCGTCCTGGTATGTGACTCATTAGCATTGCGTATCCATCACCCCAAAGGGCGCTGATTTGAACCCAAGACCTTCGATTTTGAACGTGGACACTTAGCCTCTGGACCGTTGGCTCGGCATTCAACAGTTTCACTGTCTAACTTGAGTCAATCTATGATAATGCGTTACTTCATCCATTGTCTCCAGTAGGTAACTGCCTGAAACATAACAGGGTTGATATCCACTGGTTACGGCTTCTCACTGGAACTCTGAAAATTCCATCACGAAGCTATTCACTAGTAAACGCGTGATAATTTTCAGCATAGGGTTGTGGAGATTATAGAAAGATTGGGGTTAGACATTAGCGCCGATTATTTTTCGACAACAGATAAGGTTGCGCAATATCAGGGATTGATTAAAGTTAGACAAAAACACCATTGGATTCTGACTCAGTAGTAGTCAAGAGGCTAGGCGTTCATGAGTGAAACCAAATGTTCTGGTTTCGATTCCCTCAATCGAAGTCGTGGATGTGCACTCCTGATGGGTCCTATGCTAGGACGAAACAGCCGCCCAGTGCTTCCAGGTTTCTAATAGTTGTCTAACAATAATTAATTCATGATTAGCTAATATAATCCGACAGATTGAATTAATCTAATTCTACGAAATATTTTGAATAAACTGCAGTTTGTGTAGTCTGGTTACACTTAATTCCGAAATAGTTTTTATGAATCGAACTCAAGATCCTCCTGGAAAACGAACATTCAGTTTTAAAATAAAAAACTTTGCTGTCCCTTTCTTGAATTTCATCTATACAACGTTAAAAAGCTAACCATTGCAAATGATGCTTGACGCCCGTGTTAAGGTGTTGGGGATGTTAGATCCCCAAAACTCGCTTGATAAATGCCTTATTTCGGATTCTACGTTTGCCAGCATGGGCTAATCAGTTGACCTTGAGATTTCAATTCCCACCAGGAGAATCCATGACTGTGATTGGCTGCTGTGTATTTTAGTGTGCTAGTTTCTTAACTGTCTCAAGGACGTTTCTATGATGTATAAATAAATGAGAGTTGTATGCTTGATTGTACTGTGATTGCTGGGTGTTTGTAGAATATACTTTCTACGTTTACAAAGCCTTCCTTCTTTATTTGGGGATTCAAGTTAGCCTATCAGGACGCTGGTTTATTGTCTCGTTCGCGTTTATCGACTAAGGTAAACTCGTAATAGCCTAAAGCATACTTAGTGACGAACCCAATATAAGGTCTGTAAACTACGAAGTTGCCACATCAAAAACTAATTCAAGACTGTGTATGACCAGCCACGGGTAGTTCCCAAGTTGTCAGTTCCTGATCGACATCACAAGTGAAATGGCTATCATACTACTTCACTCAATATAATAATCTTATATGTGATCGAAATAATTTGCAGTATGATTTTCTCTCTTTTTGAACAAAACTATATTACGAACTGTAACAGTATTAGTAATAACAAATAAGTTTCATAGATTTACTTCAAGGACTAATTTTAGTTAGACAGCTGTTGAAAACAAAGAACGCACTAGACTAGCTATTTCATCTCAATTTTGGACTCCCCAAAATTGTGCATTCGTGACCCCATACTAAGCTGAAGTAGCTATTCAGTGCAACCCAGTTTTCAACGGTCATTCATGATATAAAGCCACGAAAACTAGTCAACAATCTTCACAAAAAGTCCCCCCCCTTTACAGTATAGCTATATAATCATCTTCTTTTCATGATCATAGATGGCATCATTAGAAAATCGTGCTATCAGTATGGATAGTTTAAATACAACGGCAACAGCAACAGCCAGACGACCATGGAGGCCACCATCGAAAACAATCTCTCTATCTCAATCATACAGAATGTATTAATGAATAGTATGCATCCTATGATTGATGATTACCCAACTACCACCATTCGTAATTATTTTTTTTGTTTTCACTTCAATTATGTATATATATACCTACCTGTCTATTGAAAGTAGAACACAAATTCATTGATTTTTGAATGATATTTCAATTGATGACCTAGTGTTTTTTTGTGATTTTGTCGTTCGTTATTTTTCATTTTGATTTCCCGCTTTTGTCAAACTCATATTTATGATCGGAGAGAATCCTTCTTTATGTCATCATCATCTTCCAATTTTCATGCTACAATCCTATATGTGAAGTCAGTTAATAATTCCAACGCTTACATTACCAAAATTTGCATCGATCTACTACATACTACTTGATTGATTGTTATGAGTAGTTTCCATGAGTGGATTAAACATTATTTTGTATTAAAAAAAAGAAGTGATTAACCAGATGATATCAGGAAGAGAAGATTACAGGGTATGGTGACAACTTACAGGATTGATTTGTGGATTACTATTATGATTATTACTGTGTATAGTTTGGTCGGTATAATTGATTATTCAATAATCATATTACACATATTACATGTATCCTTTTCAATTTCTTACGATTAAGTACATTCAACTACTGTTTTGTGTGATTTAACTATTTCTAATATTTTTTTCTTGTTAGTTTAATGAGTATTATTCACAGCCAATTATGGCTCGCTTATGCATGGGCACATCTTTGTATTATTATTATTATTATTATTATTACTATTATTATTATTATTATTATTATTGTGTTTTGGTGTGATGTGTGATGTGATGTGGTCTAGTATGTTTTTAGTATGTACAAAATTATGTTTACTTGAAATATACATCGAATTTTGTCGAGGCTGGCTACGAAATTCTTGAAGAAAAGTCATGTTGCAAGGAGACTAGCTATCCAACTGTCGACTAATAAGGATTCAGAGGTTTCGGACGTGAAACCTAATTCTGACTGGGAGAGAACAAATATTCATAATTACCTGAATAATTAATTCACCAGTCAAAGCATGATCTGAATCTAAACATGTACTTCAGAACGAGCGACGGACTTCTATCGAGCCCCTCCATTGACGGCTGATAAAGAAGTGATCTAGTTGGGTCCGATGTTGTGACGAATTTGGGGAGTCATCTAAGCATAGGTGCAGCAGACGGTCGTCATTGTCAGTATTTTGAGCTATGACACCATAAGATCCACCCAAGTGTCTTTCCTTTTCGATTAGTCTACTTACCTGAGCATTGACGTCATCAGCCACTATCACTACATCAGAGCGCCTAATATTTTGGAGGTCTGTAAAACTCATCTTTTATGTCGTCTGAATTGCAGTCAATGGGATCGTAGGCAGAGACGATGAAGAGGCAGCGGTGAGCTTACTTATATTTCAGAGTCCTTACTCTCGTGTTTAGTCGGACAGCGCACAAGGGACTGTTGACTGAGATCCAGTCTAAGAGAGCTAGTTTTGCCCTAGGAATTAATGCAATACCTACACCAGCGACGCCATGGGAAGTAGCAGCTGGTCTTCCGGAAACACGCAGCGTACATCGGAACGATTCCTTGTTTGGAAAATGTGAAGTTAAATTAACGATTCTACTCTGATCCTGTATGCGAGTTTTGGCGACGCAACATGCAACGATGGCGCGAGATTCTAAAGTCCTAGCTAGGGAAGCTGAGGAGATCGGTCACGCACGTACTTTTTATGAGAAGTTTTCAAAGTGTTAGCTTCCTCTTCAAGTGGCCTTGCCGCCGGAGACAGAAATGTGTGGAGTAGGGTGAGGTGTGACATTTTTAAGGGTCGACCTTTTCTAACCCCTTCCTCCTATCGTAAGAAGGCAGCATAGCTGTCGATGCAGTACGACTTCATCCTCACTCAGACCTTGAGTTGCTGCTTTTAGTCTCATCGTTTTCCAGTCGACCAGCCTTGCATGTTAGAACCTACAGAAACATATGTTCCAGCCAATATAGCTCGGTTTGGTCATCACGATGGGCAAGCCCGACCACCACGTCAAGGTAGAATCTTAGATAATGAATAATTCATTTCTTCACATTAATTTCATTTAGATTTTTATTATTTCAACTAGGTACACTGTGCAATGAAGTAATGTAATAATCACTATAGAATATCTAAAAGCGAAGAAGGAATACTACGGAGAACCTTTGTTTTCCAAAGCATTTTTTACACTAAACAATTATAAAGCTATGAGTAATGTACATAAGTGTTGCTGTACATGAGTAAAGTTAAAATGTTACACAACAAATGGACGAAAACTAGAACCTGATGATTTATAACCGATGTAGTAAAATTATGGTGCAGGTGTATCCTGTTGGGGACGTTAGATCTCCAGAACTCACTTGACATAGGTCCTAATTCTGGGTTTTTATGCTTTTGAGCATGGGCTGATCAATTGACCTTTATATTACATTTCCCACTCGGAAAATCCCTGACTGTCATTGGTTGGCGTGTTATTTTAATAGGACGTTTCTATCATGTATAAATAAACTCAATTTGCCTGATTGTTAACCTCATATTTTCTAGGTGCTTGTAGAATACACTTTCTACGTCTTGTCATGACTTCTCCCTTTACTTAATGGGGCCTTGGGACGCTCGGATTAGAGTAACCTATCATGTCATTGGATCATTTGTCTTCGCCCTCGTTTACCGACTAAGGTGAACTCGTAATACTTTCAAGCATATCAATTGACGAGCATAACATATCCATTCTTTGTTTTCTCTCGAACTCTAATCTTCCGAATTCCTCATCATCCCTATCTTTCTCTTTTTAAGTTTATTTCACTGGATTATACTTTTTGAACACTATCTTCGAACCCTAATCTTCTCCATTACCGCCAGTATGCCTACTAACATCTACCGTTATGGAATCTGAATTGACAATTGCATCTCTGTGTTATTGTGGTATGACAACTTGGACTGAAGTACGTACGAAGTTCTACGTTGTAACTGACTGAATGACTGACATAATTAGAAGTACTTCGCAAAATCTTCTGAATAATTCGCCATATAAAAAATTAAATTGCACCTACTTTAAAAAGCTATAACTATCGAATTCATCTTATTACTGATCAATGTAATTAAGTGTGCTCAACATTATAAGCTTTAATTCCTAAATTCTCTCCATATTTAACTCAATCTATAATTTGTAAGAAAATTATTCTGAAGTAAACATTCGCATAGCATCGTCGTTACGGCAATCTAAGATACATATATATCCGATTTTGCATTATATCAACCTTCTTAGATTATCACAAAACGTTAGAAAACGGACGCTTAAATTACTGTATCACAGAGACCTTGAACGACATGGCTCAAAATCGTTTGCAATGGCGCAAGTGCATCCATTCGTTAAGCTCTCTCAAATCCTAATCTACTGGATTCGTCAGCACCTCTACCTTTGTCTTTCTAAACTTGTCTTATTGAATTATACTTCTTGAATAATATCTTCAAACCCTAATTTTCTTCATTACCATTAATACCTCTGCTAACTCTATCACTATGGGATTTAATTTGACATTTGCGTCTCTGTGCTAATGTGGTATGGCAACATGAACTTATGTACATACGTACGAAGTTCTACGTTGCAACTGACTGACTGTATCATAGAACCATTTAACTTATACGTCAATGCACGAAGCCACAATGCGCACAAATCGTGTTCATGTTAGTGAATTTAGATAACAATATTAGACAGTACTAAAACAAAAAATCCTTGGGGTGACAAGAATACCTTTCAGGTAAATTGATGACTTCATTTTGGTGGTAATCTATATCACTGATAATCACGAACTACTAAGCTAACTAGGTTAAACCCCTTTACTACCTATCTCAACTTGACCATTCGAATGTTACCCTTAAAATCAACATGAAATGTAGCTCGACGCCTGTATTTAATTTCCAAAAGACAGATGTCTACATTTAATTATCATTTTCTTCTACAAGATAAAAGCTCACCACTAATGATTGATTGAAACAACTTGTCTAATAACTTAACCAACTTGTCAACATGAACAGACAGATACAACGCAGAACTTCGTACGTAAGTGATTCGGTTCAAGTTGCCATACCACATCAGCATAGAGACGCAACTGTCAGTTCAAATCCAAGAGTGATAGCGATAGTAGAAGTATTAACAGTAATGAGATTATACTTCGAAGATATGATTCGATAAGTATAATTCAGTGAGATAAACTTAGAAAGATAGAGATTATAAAGAATTCAGAAGGTTAGAATTAGAGAGAACACAACGAATGGATGCACTTGCGCCATCGCAAACGATTTTCAGCCATGTCATTCAAGGCCTCTAACCATTGGTCAGCTTCGTCTAGCGGACCCCAACCAGGTAGCCTACATCTACCGACATGACTCAGTCCACTTGTCAGTAACTTCATGCATTTCTGCCATGTTTTAGTTTGGCCACCCCTAACTTTCTTCCAACCTACTCCTACACCACAAAACATAGCTAGCTGTCAAACATGAACAAATTTTTATCAAACCATAAACTAGTCTAGTCACAAACTAATGAAAACCTATATTTTATATCAGTCAACATAATCAATCAAACTCAATTATCTAACAAGTCAGATGATTATAAATCAAACACATGCAACATTATAAAAACAATATACAATGCAAATAATCGAAAAAATTACATAATCTATTCATCAAGGAGTAAAGATAATAATAAGTAGTATAAGAATGGACGTGAAAGAAGAAGTCTCACGGTCAGAAGAGGGAAACGGAAAGCAAATAGAGCAAAAGCAAGAAATAAATAGAGCAATACCGACAGGAAGTAAGGGAAGCAACAGCATGAATGGAAGAATGATGATGGAGCGTTGGAAGTCGTCAGGACTCAAAGATGGTGTGCAAATAGAGTGTGTTCAATGTGATGTTTTTATTTTTAGTTGACTAAGAGTGTAAATTTGCCAAATACAATCTATCGAGCCTGCCTCAGTCTTCTCAATGACTGCAGCAGCAGCATACCTTAGAGATACAGAAAGAAGAACCAACCATTACGTAATAGACCGAAAGTAAAAAGCCAATTATATAACACAATCACAACAACAACACCAACATAAAACGCTCATGAATTATGCATACTTTAAATCATTTAAACTAGATTATTAGTAGTTCAACACAAGTTAACCATTTTAAAAGACAAATTTAAAAAAAAACTTGTCATTTATAAAAAATTGAACTCTTCAGAAACCAAAGATCTATCTGTGAGATATATATATATATATATGCATGATAAATCAATCATTGAAATGCATGTGTTAGGCTACGGAAATAATATGTGTCCTTTTAATTTTTTTTTCTAAAAAAGTAAATAAAAAAAACTTGACCTTGACATATACAAACACTAAAAGAGGGGAAAAAAAGGATAAAATCAAAGAAAATCACATATACATACATAAATACATTTTTAATGTTACATATCTATCAATCAATAGAAAAAACAAACAGATCAAGGAGTTTTACAAGCAGTGATAATGATTGATACGTTGAATTAGAAAAAAAATTATTATTCAACAATTACATTCATATGAAAGTGTTGAATCATTTTGTACACGAACTTGTGGTCGAGAATAATTCAACTTTGGATGTTGTTCATGAAATGTTAAACTAGATGATGATCGATTAAAACATTTTAAACGATCTGGATCTAATTCACCATCACGAATTTTATAAACAAGTTTACGAACACATTGTGTGAATGATTCATCAATATTTTCTCCAGTAAGTGCTGATGTTTCTAAAAAATATAAATCATTATCTTGAGCAAATGCACTAGCTTCCCAATTTGTTACTTGTCCATCTGTATCCTATAGTGAGAAAAAGAAAATATGTCATACGATATATATTATCATGTTAAAAGAATTTCATTAAAAGATTCGAAAGGACACCTTTCTTTTGATGTATCAACGTTGGCGCGAATAGGTTATCGATTTTCAGAAATAATAGAATCTTTAGAGTTTTATTTCAATAAAGTACTTAGAGAATTCAATAATCATAAATTACTCATAATCTATACAGACCAAGCTAATAAGCCACATCAAGTAAGGTGAGAAAGTACGAACGAAATGAAGAGTATATGATTTAAAATTGCTAGTATATCCTAGGACAGCCGAGTAAGCAATGCTATAGTTAGGAAACGAGTACTAGGTAGGGCAGATCAATTGATCAAGTATTGAAACTTCATCAGCTGAAGTGGTTGGGACATGTCCTACGAATGCCCAATCGATGAGCAATGTTTTGTAGTGTGGGAGTAGGTTGAAATAAAGCTGAGGGCGGCCAAACCGAAACATGGCAAAAATCCATGAAGTCACTGACGAGTGGACTGTATTATGTTGGTAGATGTAGACTATCTGGTTGGGGTCCGCGAGACGAAAGTCACCAATTGTTAGAGACCTTGAACGACATGGCTCAAAATCGTTTGCAATGGAGCACGTGCATCTACTCGTTGTGTTCTATGAAATTTTAATCTTATGAATTCCTCATCATCTCCACTTTTCTTTCTCTAAATTTATCTCACTGAATTATACTTCTTGAATCACATCTTCGAGTCATAATCTTCTCCACTAGCTCTAATACTTCTACTATCTCTACCACTATGGGATTTGAACCGACAGTTGCGTCACTGTGCTGATACGGTATGGCAACCGGAACTTATCTACTCATGTACGAAGTTCTACATTGTATAAATGACTGACTGACTATATGATTTCAAATAATAGTATAAATAATGATAAGAAAGTCTAAACAGTGGACACAATTTGAATAAAGGTAAGGATGTAACTGTCTCTTTGAAGTGGTGGTCAAACCTGCTTATGCATTGTAGTAACCTAATCAAGCTTTAACGGTTGGGACACCTGTCTTCTGAGGTTCTGTTAGGTTAGAGAAGTCTGTTCAAGAACAGTTACAGGAAGCAGAAATGCTAGTTGTACTGAAGTGTACATGCAGTTAAATGTTTCTCAAACGTAGAAGGCATCTCAAATTCTAATCTTCTGAATTCTTCATGACCGTTATTTCTCTTTTTAAACTGATTCCTCTGGGATATATATCTCGAGTATATTCGATCATTATTCTTTTTAATTACCTCTAATACTTCCATTACCTATACTAATATGGGACCTAAATTGACAATTGCGTCTCTGTGTTAATGTGATATGGCAACTTGAACTGATATACGTACGTACGAAGTCCTACATTGTAACTGATTGACTGACTGACTGATCAGAGATGCTGCTTTTCCACAACAAAAGAGGGATTACCAAGTCAACCCTAAAAATACCATATTTCATGTAGACTTTTGATGTGGACGGCTAAACGAGTACGAAGTGTTAATGTACCAAAAACTACTTACAAAAAGCCATGTGTGACCGAACTTAGATAGTTATTACTTGGGCTCTAAGGTTACATCCCAATCGTCAAGACCATTCCGAATTTAGTTTCTTTGTCAGACAGCACAAGTGTGGTGTGAGCTACTTATAAGTAGTATATGACGTGAGTGCAAACGTAATGTTCGGCAGCATAATATGGGGGAAGATCAAGAAAAGAAGATTTATGAAACAATGGAATTTGCATGAAACGCATGAATAGTGACAATGGATTGATGTTTGGCAACAGGAACAGTCCAGTTCGATAGGATGAACTGATCTTTTGCAAATGAACAATTTACGATATGGTTTTCCGATTTTACTGAGTAACTCTGTAATTTTCGTTAAATACAATTCGGTTGCCCCACCTGTGTTCTCTTTCACTACACAAGTACCTTTTTGAGGTTTGGACGATCAACAAACGATTATTACTCTCCTACATCTAACAGCGATCAAAGACATAAGTTTAAATAGTTTTATATAATGGCTATTTGTTTTATTCATTCTGAATTCAATAAACAAACTGATTCAAATGATTTTGTCATAGTATACAACTGTGGCCTTAACTAAGTGAATTTTTCCAATCCAATTGAGACAGATTCTCTCTTTTACCAATGAAATAATGTACAGAGTTTAAAAATTATAGAGTATAATTAAAAAAAAGAAAATAAGAAATATTTATTACCTGTAAATCTTTTTTATTTCCAACTAATACAATCATGATATCAGGTGAAGCAAGTGTTCTTGCATCGGATAACCAATGGGCAAGTTCATTGAATGAATCCCTATTCGTAATATCATACACTAGTAATGCTCCAACAGCATCATGATAATATGAATGAGCCATTGATCTGAAACGTTCTTGGCCTTTAATTAATTAAAATTTTTATATTACAATTTGATTCAAAGTATTAAATTAAATGGTGTAATATAGTGTAAACATAGATGTAAACTTTAAAAGAATAACAAATAGCTTAATGTCACAAAATCGAAAAGCTTTTTCTCAAATCCTAATCTTCTGGATTCTTCAACCCCTCTAGTTTTGACTTTATAAACTTTTCTCATTAAATCATACTTCTTGAATAATATCTTCTAATCCTAACCTCTCCGATTACTTCTAATACCTTTACTACCTCTTCTACTATTGGATTTGAATCGACAATTATATCTCTGTGTGTGCTGATGTGGTATGGCGACATGAACTGATGTACTTACGTACGAAGTCCTACGTTGCATCTGACTGACTGACTGAAGTAACAGATCTACATATTGCCTGAATCCATTAAAATTGTTTCTAGAGCACCATCTATAACAAAAGTGAGGAGGAATCGTGAGATTAAACGAATCCGCCTAATTTTAGAGTTTGAATGAAACATCGGAGAGAGGTAGTTGTAGGCCCTCACTCTGACTGAGGTGCTTGTATATAGAGCCTATGAGATGATAAGCTTTTCAGGCGCATTCTTCAGTAGACAATCCCAGAGAACAGCCCTGTTTAGCAAATCGAAGACAACTATGGTGTCAAGAAATGATCGTCGGCTTGCAATAAGTGTGACGGTATTCTAAAATTTAGCGGAGGGTGAAAATGTGATCGATACAAACTTAGATGATTAGAACCACTTCTTCATATATTTATTTATCCCATGTTAGCAAAACTGTTGTGCGATATGCTCAATGATTGTTCAACTTCTGAACGAAACGGGGTGCCTAACATATTTAAGAGTTAGAAAGTCAAAGATGGTTGGACAATGAGTTTCACTTAGGTTCATTTGCGAATCTCAATACTCGTTTCCTCCTCGTCCACCTTGATCTGATAAGTCATCCATCAGAGTCAAATGGATATTTATTTGCTAACATGAGTTCTTCCACAAAATGATCAGGAGCAGTGACTAGCAAATACATTGCTACTGAAACGGTGGTGGTACGCGATTTTGTCAGACGATAGATTTCACACTGCGGTTCCTCACCAATTACTAAAGGAGACCAGTGATACCGTTTTGGATCTGTATCATTCTATGCTCTAGATAAACGTTTTTGGCCTAGATGACTGAGATTAGCCGTCTATAACTCACAAGCCAACAATGTAATAGAACGACTCCATTTCAATAATAAACACCTTATAATGGATAGACGCACTTCTATTACTAGGAATTCGTTGTGGATTGAAAGATGATCCAGGATGGACTGCAGACGAACTTTTTATGTCGTAACTCCTTGACTTCTAGGAATAATCAATCAATCAATCAACACATATTTAGCGAGTATAATAAAAGTCAGCATTTAGTAATTTCTATTTAGACATAAGATGACGCATATTAACCAGGCACATACTACAGAAATATGAGAGCATAAATCTGAAAATAACTACCTGCAGTATCCCATATTTGAATTTTAACAGCAGTTTCATCTACATTAATGATTTTACTACCAAATTCTGCTCCGATTGTATGAGGCAAATTGGGAATAAATTTTCCCTCAGTATATCTTCGTAAAATGCATGTTTTCCCAGAGCCCGCAGCTCCAATAATCAAAAATTTGAATAGATACTTGTAATTCTCTGATATATCCATCTCTTACATATGGTTATACTTCAGGTGATTTGCAATGCATCAACTGGATCGGTTAATTATTTGGAAGATTAGTTTCCTCCAAAGTTAGAAATTGCATAAAACTAGGAATTAATCTCTACAATCCGTAGTAATTAACTGGGCATTCAGTACCTAATAATCAAAGTTGACTAAAAGTATTCTGAAACAAATACATATATATCCGGGTCATTACTTTTCATAAGGATATAAAAAGAGATGAACGAAATGAAGAAATAAAAAGATCTAAAACAGTAGAGCAGTTATGTGATTGACGACTTCTGAGAAGTAACAACATTATTAAGTGTTCTGAGAAAAACGAGCAAGAATTATTTGATTAATAATACTTTTTCTAGCTGAAATTTCATGAATCACTTACAAAATTTTGTACAGGGTATCACTCACTACCTTAGTCAATATTGCATGTGCAACACTATCTTGTACTTACTTCAATCGATCACAGGTCACGAATAAACAGGTGGCTTGATGACAGTGCCAATACAGCATTAAATATGAGCAGATAGATAGCTCTCTGAGTATCGAATAGGGTACTAGGCTTAAAATAATATACTACCACGAACCAGTAAGTTTGCACACGGTAAATAAGAGATTCATTACACGATCTGGATAAAGGCATTGAAAATATTAATACACTTCGTACATGACAAAGATCTGCAGTCCCGAATATTAGAAGTTATGCTGAGCAGACTGTCCGCCAAATCAGTTTATTGATTAGAAACCCTAAAATTCTATCTATGTTAACAGAATACAACGGTGAAGAGGAATAATGTGAAAAATTACAGTGAAACTCATTTGTACATTTATGAAAGTGTGATTTACTGGTATTTTGTTAGCGATACTTGAGTGTTGAGTCAACAGGGATGAGAGTGGTAGGTCAGTCTGTCTACTCAAGTTCTCGTACTATGTTTAGCCGTTAATGCGAAGTGTTGCGACCACAACTTTACAATTAAGTATGGGAAACCAAAATCCTGAAGAGATAATACTTGACTTAAGGTTTTCGCAGTATTTCTTAAGTGAGAGAATATAAGTTTTTGTTCGGTATAGTGACAACCAGTTGAGCATTTCATAATATACACCTAACTTAATTTCGAAGAACCATCGTTTCTGTTAGCAAGTAAATACGAGCAAAATATTACGAAAGATCAAGATCAGCCCCCTAACACCATCTGTGGAAAAACACTCTTACCCATCAACGTACTTCAGGCAATGACTTAGCGTCATCGTCTGCTTGTGAAGGTTACTGAGCACTCGAAGGTCAAACTGATACCAATATCCAATATCTTTTTCACGAGCTAGTGTAAACCAATTTGATTTCTTCGCGCTCGATTCTTGTTCTTTCGGTACGGTTCCAGGTGTTCGGTAATGTCCAATGGATGGAGGTCTAGCCACTCGACCGCCTAATTCTAGTCAGTTGGCAGTTGGTTGTGAGTTTGGATGTCTCGGGATTTGAATGAAACGTTTGTTTCAGGGCAGTAGGGTTTCTGGATACTAGCAGCCGTCACATTACCAAACCGGAGATCAGTTAGTTGCAATGTGGAGAGTAATAAGGGTAATAAGGATGAAATTCTAATGATAATATGAATAGAATTTCAGAACTGAGTAATATATAGATGAATTTAGTTCATTAATTGGTAGTGAAGATTATGACAGAGGACCGAAGTGTAAGCAAGGGAGAGGAAACAGAGATAATAGGCGAGATAGATTAATTGAGTGATCTGAGGAGATGGCAATGGTAACAACTAGCAAGTATTAGTGCGCCACATTTGGCGTTTACGGACTCTTCGCGAAGTGTTTACATCAAGACAATTACAAATTGGGTTTTAGTTATGTTGTGCTGTGTCGGATAACCTCCATCCTTTAATTAGTATAATGACTTCAAGTAACTGACTTTTTCGATCCATTCTTCGTATAGTATATCCAATATCTTTTTCACAAGCAAGTATAAACCAGTCGATTTCTTTGTGCCTGGTTCTTGTCCTTTCGGTACATTTCCAGGTTCTTGGTAGTGTCCGATAGATGGAAGTCGAGCCACTCGACTGTACTAAATCTAGTCAGTCGGCAGTTATTTATGAATTTGAGTGTCCTGTTACTGGAATGAGTGCGTTTGTTTCAGGGAAGTAAAGTTTCTGGATACCAGTAGCTACCAAGTTGCCAGGCCTGAGATGACACAACAAATTTCATATCACCATATACATAGAACAGCCTTGGCCCAGCTCTGTTTTCCTTCAGATATGTTTACTCATGTAGGCGTAAGCGCAGTTCATCAGCATCAGATGTTTATTTTCAGGGAAACTGACAACAACAGAGATCATCATTCTTCCAATGACTGTACACCTACCCACTCATCACTATAAAGACTTATTCTCAGGCAGTCGTAGTTTTGAATTTGTTTATAGTAGATCGTGATAAGCGGAGCTTAAATATCTGAACACCTGGTCTTCACAAGGCAGTTCAAGTAACAACGGACATCTAAATGTTAAAACTAAAGCAGATATTTAGTACGTTTGACTCTTAACTCATCATAAAATGCTGGTTGTACATGAAAAAATGAGTTTTACGTTTATACGAATGCGCGTAGATTTACGGCAGAAATCTCAGTCTTTGCTGAATCCATAATAAAAGTGCGCGTATCAGATGTACCACGCAATACATCTTTAAAATATACCAGCAGTCTAACACTGTATTTAGGACGTTCTTCTCTGAGAAAAGCACAGCTAGAACTGTACCCTTGCCCAGAACTACCTGTTATAACGTACTCAAACAGTAGAAAACTTCGAAATGAACCTGGATTTTCTTTTACGTACCCAAATTCATTAGTCTGATAAGTCGTGTCAATAAATACTACTTCCAGAAACGCATGGTAGATGGTGGCTGAAGTATATCATAGAAATATCGGTATTTTCTTGAATTACTATTTCGTGTTGTCCTGGAGGCTCTGTAAAATCCCGTTGATATGTTCAATGTCTAAAATCAATTACTTAGCATGCAAGTATAAAATGTGGATACAAGTTTGGGCGCACTTTCGCGAAATCTTGATTGGATAACTGCGTGCAGAACTGTCAAGAAGTAAGATGTTGGATGCTACGAGTTGCAGTATTACTCAAAATGAACAATCTTTGATCCAATCGACAACTGCCCAAAGAACTGATTGACATGATGCACTAATAGTTTTATGACAGTTTGACCTTCAAGTGTTCAGTATTCTCTATAAACAGATGATGCCTCCATTTGCCCATTTGTCAGATCGGAAGTCTATATGGTCTCACTGGTTTCAGCAACCATACAAACAGTCGTGTTGAAAATTCCCACAAACTTTTAGAAGAACGTCTTTGAAGAGGTGATCCCTTTCTACTGACTCTACGGAAAATCTGAAGTAAGAGAGATATCGATCGACATTTGGACCTTTATGACACAACAAAGCATCTACGTTATTCAAAGTTTCCAGCAAGAAAATTTTTGAAAATATGGTATACTTCAAGTTCAAAGATCATTCCAAACACTTTCAGAACGGGCCCACTACTTATGTGGCTAAAATTGTAGCCGTCAATTTAAAAAGTGTTAGGAGAATTAGACATGGAGTGTGAATATTCCATTCGGACCACAAAACGCTGCAGACGTAGAACGGAACGAGATTAAGCGAAGGAACGAGAAATGACCAGAGTGAGCAAGTTCGAGACCATACGTATGCCAGATAATTTCGGAACCAGAATATCGACTTAGTGCGTTGACAAGAGCGTGGGTGATCAGGCCAGCTTTTGCCAAGATTGACTGAAGTCGACTAAACCAACAGGGCGATTGTCGTAGGCATGGGCTCAGGATAAAAGACGGAAGAAAAAGAGAAAGGTGTAGCATACATGTAGTACGAGGATAGTGTCCCATCGCGTATTGATTGTTGACTAAGATATTAGTCGCGAAAGCGTACAGGTAGGCGTACGCGGCGACCGGAACACGAGACGGTAATGTTACTGCATCCCAGACAAATTACACAATGCGGAGAATACTGAGCTGAAATAAATCGCAGGTCTAGGATTTCCCTTTAGGCAAGGGTTAAAGTATGTATTTTCCTTAAATGTTATTACTGATTCTTTTCTCTGGTAACATCACGTCATTAAAATAACCACAGTAGCTAGACAGTAAGAAAGGGTCATCAGTACCAGGTGGTAGAAGCGAGGTATGACTTCACCGTAAGCTAGTAGGTGTAGAATCCTTTTTGAATGTTTTGTTTTTTGGAAAATCCCTCCATGTTTACATATTTTTGCTATGACATGACGGACTTTTTCTGTTGACATTTTTGGTATTTTATTTGATTCCAATTTGAGACTTTATCATTGTATATTGTTATTCTTTCTATATTTTGTACTTATATTGAAGTTTTTGTGTTTGCTTCTGAACTGTACATATGTTGTTTAAATTTGATATAATATGGCTACCGCCACATTTTTGGACTGACGCAGTGGCCGCTGGACTTAGCGTCACTTATTTGTTACTGTGTCTGCTACTCTGCGGAGTAACTGAACCCTGGAAGAAGCACTATTTTCAGGTAATGCTTTGTATTTCCATTTTTTAACTAATACAGACGCTTTCTCCTAGAATTTTGTCCTTTTTGAATTGGTTGGGACCCGGAACTGGGAAAAGCGTACAGGAGTGCCTCTATTGGAACCAATTGGGACGGCCACTGTAGAAGTTCAATTACAGTAGGTCACAGCATTTCTGCCCAGCAGAAGTGGTCCTCAACCATTTTCACAAATAAACTACCTTAGTGGCCAAAACACTGCTTAAAAAACCTAATTAGTAGAGCGAAACTCATCTGTATGTGGTTGAGAAACTGCTGCTTTCGGGAGATGAACTTCTGCATTCTCCTGGCTTGTTATGGTTTCAGCACCCTACCATTACTAAGATACCAATATTCTCAAATTTGAGCTTTGCTTTTATCTTTCAAGCAAATGGTACAAAAGCCAATCACTGAAAATTATTCGTGGAAAGTTAACTCTAATATAAATCTCCATTAAGTGAGAATGTTTATGATGGCAGGCATATAATTCAAAGAGTTAGTTTTGCGAGTACTGAACACTGATACTGACGTTATGGAATCCAGTGGATACTTCAGACCAAACATCACTACTAGATCACAGAACGACCTAACTAATGGTACCTTTCTTTCTTCAGACAATAACTATTCTACATTTAGTCACACGAAAAGTTTCTTCCAACCACCATCATAGACAGCATGAGTCAGTTGGATGAATTGGCATGATGACATGGTAAATTCCTGACTGAGAAATTCAAAAGTGGTTCTAGATGTTTAAAAGTGAGAAGTATTGGGCGTGTTATACCGAAATAATTAATGTATATGATCATAATGCTAGCCAGAGTGTACATAAAACGTTTAATATTTGAAAATATACTTTACAGGTGGCAAACTACAGAAATTAATAGCGGGACAACAGTAGGGAAAACAGTTGCAGGCTGTGATAAAATTTAAATCATTAGGTGAAAGCTTAAACGTAAAAGTGCCTGTTGGTAGATATACACATAATAGCTCTTTACTTTGAATTATGTGAATTGTGATAATTTACTGGTTGAATAATAAAGCCCAAGAATAAATTAAAATTTTTTGTTTAAGTTTCATATTATAGAGTGTTGTCGGGTTTACTTGAGCACAGTTTTGTAACAGATTAAGTAAGGTGGTTATGCGTTAGCCGGCCGATTCCCTTCAATATATAAACTTGATAGCTTAAGCATTTATCTGTCTTCTGATTTCATGTAGGCATGATATATCCTGGTATCCTAAAGTAAATGTTTAAACGTTTGCATTCCTCAGATTGCCAGTAACTGGTTCGCGAAACTTATGGAAACCTACCATATCCAAGTTACTGAATTTCGATACACATACTGTGCGGTGAGACGCTGTTGATAATTTGAACTTAAAAATATTACACGAAGTTCCAATTTTAGTATGTGTACCGCCGAAGCGAGTACACAAAGTTCAGATCATCGTTGATTTCAGACTGAAGATTCCATCACTTTTTAGTTTAGTGTTAATGTCGGTAAGTGACGAGAAACTCTTTGAGTGATCCTTCCCAATACGCATACCTCAAGCTATCGGTAACCTCATAAAGCGGATCGCTATCCAAAAAATTTATCTATACCCGAATTCACTTAAATTGCGTCAAAGGCAGATCACAGGAATAGCACGCTATTATGTTGGCTTTATCTTGAAAAGAAAATGCCGTCGACCTTTGAACCTTATTAATTGAAAAAAGAAGTAACTGACGGTCACAGTCACATAATGACACCAAATGGACTCAGTTAAAGACATAAGAGTCAAGATTTGGATACATGTTATCTTTTAGTAAGATTGATCAGGACGGTATCCCTAACATCCTGAAGGAATATTTATGGTGTCTTATCAGTTTCAACCTAACAGAAAATAAGTAAGCTGGTTAATCAACCAATCATACATACGGACCTTCAATAAACAAATCTGTAGGAGCCAATTTTCTTATGAATATAGCTTAAGTTCATTTGGTAATGTGTGTGTGAAAACAACCTTACCTTTCATTACCATTCATTTCATTTAAACTGAACGAACATAACCTCTAAACTTAATAACTAATAAAATTATAGCTCATTACCAAGTATCGTGTTGAATTTTCATAAAGTGTATTTCTCGTCCTCTATTTAAAATCAAGTCCCTTTGGTGAGCGTTAACAAAAGAAGGGTCATCCAAGGGAGCAGTATAACCGCCCAGTCAAGAATTACGTAGATGTGGTGTGATATATATTCTCTAAATACTCCTGGCATGTCATCAACATGGTGGACTCACCTATTATTTTACTCCTGGGATAGAAATCAGTTGAATAACATGTAGTTTCTTGATTTTTCCATCAAATATTTGTCAACTGATTAGTACGATTATATCCTCAGTCAATCCTAAAACAGAAACATAGATACTGAAAAATTCAAAAATATGATCGGGATATTTGAAAAATAGAGAACACCTACTTACATCTGCTTTAAAAGAAGTCATCATGAACAAAAGTATTAACAACTTAACCCAACATTTGTTCACATAGAAAACTTGAAGACAACTAAATAAACGTTGTCCGAAATGAAATATATGTCCGAAGTTTTCAAGGCATTGAGATCACTGCTTGTTGTTGTTCAGCACTAACAAAAGACTCCTCTTTATTATATAATCAATTTAGAGGTAGACTTAATAATTGAACAAACACCTAAATTTTTTGACCCTGAATTTCAGAGATTGAGTTTTGAAGACCTTGCGACTTTACAAATGTTTTCAAGGTTGGTTGTAAGGATACTAAATGGTTCTGTCTGTTAGTTTGTGAAGTTCAGTCATTTATTGTCAAGTTTCAGAGTCATTTACATTTTTATTGTGACACTTGATGCTTAGTTTATGCATTGTAAGTCTTTTGAATCACATAAGTGATTTAATATTCGGCAACTTAAGTCGTCGGTCTCATAATTTCGTAATAATAACATATTTTACTCTCTAAGTGCATATCAATAATGTGTCTAAAGCTTTTCTTTATCATTTTTTGTTGAAATATGTTAAAGTTTAATGGAATCACGGACTGAAAAATCCACGCGAATGAGACGTGCTAATTTCTCAGATTTCTAGTATTTGCTAATGATTTACAGTTGTTTCTCACAAATGGCAAAGACCTACAGATACGTATTTAAGAAAGTTTCAATAAGAGTGGTATACTCGTTTGACATATTTGGTTTCGAGCAGACTTTTGGTGTTTAATGTCGATACTTTCTAATATTATAACAAATATCTTCAGTCATTTATATAGCTTTTAAACAAAGTTAAACCAATTCGTTGATTATCCGTACAAGTTTCAATGTCTCCAGTTGCAGAGATGATAAGACTGTATACATAACGAGTTCATAATCACACCAACCAGTTCAATTTTACGCTTCAGTCTATCAGTTATCCATCCTAAACTCTTCACGCCATACCACCGCTCTTTGCTTGGAATCTCTATCACCATTTTCGAATTCACTTGCTACCACATTCTCATGGCATGATCATAGAGTTTGTGTCACCCTAAGCCAAACTAGTCGCACCGCATGTGTTTTTGGTTCTTTCCTTGCTCACAAGGATAGTTGTAAAATTGATTGGGTCAAAAGGTGGGATAGTAATAATTCATAAGGTACACATTGATTTGGGCCAAGAGAGTAAATCCATACCTCTACTTGGGCAGAATTATAGATATAATGAACCATTTCTGTAGGCTACCAGTACCTTCATCTATTGAAGGGATGAATTTAAAAAATCACGTTTTGGCCGGCATATTTCGCAATAGTTGATGGATTTCTGTTCTCAGTTATCAAACTCTAAGGTACAGCACGTTTCTGAGTGGGTTAATCAACTAAACAGCTGGCACAGATATGTTCACTCAATTCACCAAATCCTAGCTTAATTTGCTTCACTATTACTCATTTACTGACAGAAATCCACAACAACAGCTTTAAACTCTGCTCCTGTATGTTGCCTAGATAAGTGTATCAGTTTCGTCTCACCATTTAACCTCTCATCTGACAACATAGCATATCTAAAAGTCCTGAGTATTGCCAATAAACAGTATCCAACCGCCGTAGAATAGTTGGTTTATTCATCAAATATATAACTAACTAGAGCCAAGATCTGCAAGAAGCAAAATCAAAATTAAAACTGTCAGTACATAACGGCAGTCTTTTATTCATATCACTTGAAGTCGTCAATCAAAAATCATGATTATTTTGTTGAAGTTAATCAGTACGTCTAGCACCTAATCCCATCTAACTCCTATGCTAGCTAAGATTGATTGTCAGAGTAGTAACTGAATAAACGGGATGAATGCATTTTGAAACTATCTGAGTTAATAAAAATTCACCAATCAACCAACAATTTTATCCACTACCCTACACTCAACTTGAAAATGATTTAATTTGTAGTTCAAATTGTGGTATGGTGACTTGAACTGATGTAAGTTCTACGTTGTAACTGAGTGGCTGACTGACTTAATTCATAGTTCTATCCTCAAACCCATATAACTGGCTGTAACCATGAAGAAAAGTACAACCATGAGAAAAACCAAGATACCTCTTTTTTACAACTGTGAATACTATATTTTCAAAAATTCGTATTAATGCCTATTAGTCACTAAGTTCTTTTATTGTGTTCGACCGTCTAGGGGACCATGTTTAAGTAGGCAAGACTGGAAGAGTAAGGCTTATAATACTAACGAACCAATATGTCCATTAAAAAGTGTTTATCATACTTATAAATGTGAAATCAAGCATATAAAGATAAAGATGGGTATAAGTGACTAATACTTTATTAGACACTCGGTTGAAACCTTTTTGTAATTAGATCTACTTAGGTAAATAGTGTAAATCATATTCCTATATAATATATACTCTTTAATGGACATATTGGTTCGTTAGTATCATAAGCCTTACTCTTCCAGTCTCAGGTTTGAGCTCCATCCTGCCTACTTAAACATGGTCCTCTAGAAGGTCGAACACAATAAAAGAACTTAGCAAATAATAGGCATAAATGCGAATTTTTAAAAATATAGTATTAAAAGTTGTAAAAATAAGAGGTATTTTGATGTTTCTTGCTATTTTACTTTGTATTCATAGTCACAATCAGAAATATTAGTTTGAAGATTGTTTACAACACTCTAGGCAATGTTCACTTTGTTTTGTGACTGTCAGTTTACGAAGTTGATCCCTATTAACATTTTTTTTTCTTTTCCTTACTAGATTCCAACTATTAGAAGAAACATTCATAAAATTCCAGGCCACCTGGTGGCAAATACAATTTAGATTTTAGCTTTACTCTGCTTGATAACAAGCTAAATATGGTTTTAAAGTAGGCTTAGTGTCATAGCATCCCTTTAATTTATCTATCTTTATAAAAGTTCAAAAGTATTATCTACTGGAGATGTTATTATTTGTGGCTATTTGATGAAAAGCAGACGTATTGAAATGTTACGTAAACTCTTGTGGAATGTACGTTTATTGTTGTATTGATTTCCTCCTCTAAACTTTTTCAATCATACATCTTTAGCTTGATTGCATGAAACATTCTACAGAATCTAATGTTATAGTAAGTTGTTTGTTGTTAATTTGTCGATTAATCTGTAGATTTGATTTAATAGTTTGTTTTTATGTTATATGTCAATGATTTGATTATTGGAATTTCATTTGTTAATTGCCAGTTAGCATATGATAGCTATCAGAATGGGAGTTGTGGGGATTGTTGAATATCCAATGGTGTTCTAACAGAGATCAATTTGTGATCTTGAAAACATTCAATAATCCCCGTAATCCATATTCTGATTATTGGCTAATTGTTGTTTTCCTGGACCTTAAGGCGGCATTTAACACAGTGGATCGTGAGGTTCTGTGGCAGTGTCTGTCATTGAAAGGTGTACCAAAGAAGTACATTAACCTCATGCAAGCTCTCTACTCGAACACTGTCCGAGTGAGAGCTTATAGCGAACTGTCATCAGAATTCTTTACTTCAAGTGGTGTCCGTCAGGGATGTCCATTATCTCCATTCTTGTTTTATTTTATCATAGACATGCTCCTAGAAATAACCTTATCCTCGTCTGAATTTTCTGGAGTAGACCTTCTACCAGGTGGCTCGCTAATTGACTTAGAATACGCCGATGACATAGTTCTACTTGGCGAAGACGCTGAAAAAGTGCAGAGTCTTCTGACTACCCTAAGCAACAATGCAAGCATGTTCGGGATGCGGTTTTACCCCGTTTGAAATGCAAAATGTTGCTTGAAGATTGGGTTTCATCGGCACCTTAACTAGTGATAGGGAGTAAACTAGTCGAGCGAGTAGACCGCTTCACTTATCTTGGGAGTCTCATCAGTGCCGATGGCTGACGAAATCTTAGCTCGGATACAGAAGGCTCGATTGGCTTTGGCCAACCTGCGTCACTTATGGCGTAGGCGAGATATCTGTTTGCTGATTAAAAGACGAGTGTACTGTGCAGCAGTTCGCTCCGTTCTCCTATATGGCTGTGAAACATGGCCAATGAGAGTAGAAGATATTCGTAGGTTACTGGTTTTCGATCATAGGTGTCTTCGAAGCATTGCTCGTATATCATGAGACACCCGAGTGAGCAAGGCTGTTATAAGGAAACGGGTGCTAGTTAAGAATGGCAGATCAATAGATGAAGTGGTGAAACGTGATCAGTTGAGGTGGTTGGGACATGTGTTACGTATGCCTAACCACCGACTGCCTCGACGAGCTTTGTTTTATGGTGTAGGAATAGGTTGGAAGAAAGTTAGGGGCGGCCAAACCAAAACATGGTAGAAATCCATGAAGACATTGACGAGTGGACTTAGCCATGTCGGTAATTTTCGACTACCTGGTTGGGGTCCACGAGATGATAATAATCGATGGCTAGAGACTCTGAATGACATGGCTCAAAACCGTTCGCAATGGCGCCGGTGCATTTATTCTCTGTGTTCTGTCAAATCCTAATCTTCTGGGTTTTTCAAGCCCTCTAGTTTTGACTTTCTAAACTTATCTCACTGAATCATACTTCTTGAATAATATCTTCTAATCCTAATCTCTCCGACTACTTTTAATATCTTTACTACCTCTTCTACTATTGGATTTGAATTGACGATTACATCTCTGTGCTGATGTGGTATGGCAACATGAACTGATGTAATTACGTACGAAGTTTTACGTTGCATCTGACTGACTGACTGAATAAAAAGTTCAAACGGACCCTGGAGAACGTAGGCAAAAGGTAGCAACTGACAGCTCAGATCACTACCTGGGGGTAATCAAGATGAAACTCAAAACAAAGAAGCATTGTACAACTAGGAGAACAGTATGAAAAATTCAGCCTTCCTTCTGGATAATGACCAACTCAGCGAATTTAAGATAAGTCTCAGCAATTATTTCCAAGCCTTTTACGATCTACTCAATGAAGAGGCAATTACCGTGGAGAACAACTGGTAAGCGATCAGAGAGGAAATAACTACAGCTTGTCGTGAGGTTTTGGACCACGAAAATCACTGCAAGAAAGAATGAATCTCTTGTGATACTATGAATAAAATTCAAGAAAAGAAGAACAGGAAGACAGCAATCAATAACAGCCGAACAAGATCAGAGAAAGCTAAGGCACAGGTAAAATATACAGAAGGAAACAAGCAAGTGGAAAGGAGTATTAGAAATGATAAACCTAAATATATGGAAGGTCTACTAATGATAGCAGAAAAGGCTGCAAGAGAAAGAAACCTGAGACAACTATAATATACGACAAAGAAGCTTCCTGGAAAATCCGGAAGACCAGAACGACTAATCAAGAACAAAGAAGGTAAAAAACCTATCGTCATTGAAGAACGGCAAAAGAGGTATGTAAAGCACTTTGAGTAACTCGTGAATAGACCAACTCCAATCAACCTACCCAACATTGAAGCAGCACTTATGAACCTCTTGCGTGATGTTAACATACCAAATATTAAAAGAACCAGCATGGTCATCAGACAAATCAAGTGGTGAGGCAGCAGGACCGGACAACATACTAATTGAGGCATTGAAAGCAGACTAAAGTAACTGCAAAGATGTGCTACGTTCTTTTCAGCAAGATTTGGGAAGAAGAACAAGTACCAACAGAATGGGAAGAAGGATACGTCATCAAGATAAAAAAATAAAGATCTCAGCAAGTGTGAAAACTAGAGAGGCATCACTCTTCTCTCTTATACTAAAAAAGAGTCTTCAGCAGATTGTTGTTGAAATAAATGAAAGTTTTAGCAGATACCCAACTTCAAGATCTGCAGTCTGCGTTCCATGTGCCGGCAAAATCATGACAATATGGATCATTGTGAAGCAATCACCTGAATGGAACTCACCGCTGTACATCAACTTCCCTGACTAAAAGTGAGCATTTGATAGCGTGGACACAAAAACATTATGGAAACTTCTTCGACACTACAGTGTATCTGAAAAAGTAGTCGACATCATGCGGGGATTCTTATGATGGATTAAACTGCACGATCATGCATGAACGGCAGCTGACAGATTCATCCCATATGATAATCGTTACCAGAGTATGTGGATGTACTACAACTACACATCTGTAACAGTTGCTACGTTGGCAGTAAGTAACGTGGATTAAGCTAGCTACACAGTCGAGTTGTTCCGTGATTGTGAGTGTGGATACATAGCTAGTAGAAATTAGGGATATTCGTAGGTTACTGGTTTTCGATCATAGGTTGCCTCGATGAATTGCTTGTCTATCTTGGGACCACTGAGTAAGTCATGCTGCTGTTAAGAAACGGGTAAGGATGAAGTAATGAATCGCCATCAGTTTGAGGTGGTTGGGGCATGTGTTACGTATGCCCAATCACCGACTACCTCGACAAGCGATGTGTTGTGGTGTAGAGAAAGAAAACAAAGGGCTGCCAAAGCAAAACATGGCAGAAATCCATGAAGTCACTGACAAGTGGACTGAACCATGTTAGTAGGTATAGACTACCTGATAGGGGGTCGCGAGACAACACTAACCGATGGTTAGAGACTGAACGACATGACTCAAAACCGCTCGCAATGGCACAGGGGCATCCATTCACTGTGTTCTCTCAAATTCTAATCTTCTGAATGCCTCATCACCTTTATTTCAGTAGATTGTATTTCTTGTATAATATCTTCGAACCCTAATCTCTCCGATTACCGCTGATACTTCTACTACCTCTACTACTAATGGATTCGAATTGACAATTCGATCTTTGTGTGCTGCTAATGTAGTGTTGTAGTATGACAATTTGAACTGACGTACGTACGAAGTTTTACACTCTTAAGTGACTAATTACATCACGATTGTACAACAATCAAAAAAAGTCTTTAGTATTTGATTTCCCGCATCAATCTATTTTACATTGTAAACATTTTCTCATTCTATATAATGGCATACTAGTTAGTTGTGTGTATAATACCTGTTAACTACGAAGATCTTTCACAATCAATATTTTTGATAAAATAGTTCTCTTGTTAAAATTGATTCACATTAGTAAATTTATCATAAATAAAAAAAATTTGGTATTTTTATTTTTTTTAAAAATTGAAACTGCACAAATCATGGCGTATTTTGATTTTGTTTATTTTCTCAATAGTTTATAATATATATATATATATATATATATATATATATATATATATATATATATATAAGTGCGAAACATGACTAAGTACATATTCTGTATGGTTGGTTGTGTTCGCTTGTAAATATTTTGAGTAATTTTTCCAACCATCGCCTGATAGTATAGCTCATTTAAATTCATTGACCAGTTAGTTCATAGTTGTATCGATGTATATAGAGATGAATTTGAACGACATGACTAAGTGTACATGTTTTGATGCCTTCGAATGCCTTGGTACGACTGCGAGTCGGAAGAGTTCGCTCTTCCTCTCGAAATGCTCTCATAACTTACATGCTTACTTACTTACGCCTGTTACCCCCAATGGAGCATAGGCCCCCGACCAGTATTCTCCAACTGACTACTGTCTGGTTATGTTCAGTTTTCGTTCATTCATCTCATTTCTTTCTCTATTTCTTGGCGTAATGTGTTCCTTGGCCTTCCTTCTTTCCTTTGACCTTGAAGGTGCCAAGTGAGGGCTTGCCTTGTGACGCAGTTAGGTGCTTCCGCAGTGTGTGCCCTATCCCCTTCCAGCTCTTCTTTCTGATGTCTTCCTCCGCTAGAATGTAGTTTGTTCTCTTCCATAATAATTTGTTGTTGATAGTGTTTGGTCAACGGATCTGAAGTATTTTGCTTAGACAACTGTTAATAAATACTTGTAACTTGTGGATGATGGTTTTGGTAGTTCTCCAAGTTTCCGCTTTGGAGTTCCAGGTGTTGTTCAATTGTAGAAATGCAGCCCTTGTTTTGCCGAACAGCCCGGAGCTCCTCTGGGGATACTGCTGGTTCCAAGCCCGGATAAAGGTGGAGGACTGAGCTTGGGATTGGCGACCCCATCCCTTAAAAAAACTAACTCGTTAAAAAAAACGCTAACCAGAAAACATAATCCGAATACTCTCACATGGCTATACGTAAATAGTGAATGTTGGGGAGTTCCTA